TACAGTCACATCCTCTCCCTTCTTTGCACTGGTCCCAGTGTTTAAAGCATGTCAGGTAAGAGTCTGAGAAGAAATCCACGGGTTTTTCCTGTTGCCTGCATTTCTTTTTACATTCCTGCAAGCTGAAGCAGCACAACAGTGGGGGCAAAGAGAGCACAGAGTAGAAAAGGAGCAAGAACTCCCCTCCCCTTGTGGCCTTTGAGAACTGGGATGAGGATGCCTACTCCTACCAGCTCTCTTGGGCTAACAATGTCCCTTTCGTGGCCAGCTGCGGTCACCTCCAAAGAAGAAAGTCACCCTTTAACAGCCACCCACATGAGAATGGCTTAAACCAGTTCTGCAGTCACAGATGAAAATGCACTTTTTTCTAGAAGCCCTGACTTCTCTCGGATTAATCACGTCAGGTAAGAGTCTGAGAAGAAATCCACGGGTTTTTCCTGTTGCCTGCATTTCTTTTTACATTCCTGCAAGCTGAAGCAGCACAACAGTGGGGGCAAAGAGAGCACAGAGTAGAAAAGGAGCAAGAACTCCCCTCCCCTTGTGGCCTTTGAGAACTGGGATGAGGATGCCTACTCCTACCAGCTCTCTTGGGCTAACAATGTCCCTTTCGTGGCCAGCTGCGGTCACCTCCAAAGAAGAAAGTCACCCTTTAACAGCCACCCACATGAGAATGGCTTAAACCAGTTCTGCAGTCACAGATGAAAATGCACTTTTTTCTAGAAGCCCTGACTTCTCTCGGATTAATCTGAAGAGCTCAGAGCATTAAGATGATGGACAAGTTCCAGAACAGAAACTCAATTAAAAAGGGGGGAAAAAAACCCCCAACATTTCAATGACTTTCAGGAAAAGGCTACATTATGTTGTCCATTGTTTCTTCAGTAAATACAATGCAGTGCTGTAGTTAAAAACAGTCCAGCTCAATACTATAAGCCATTATTTGAGGGAAATTTATTAGCCAAATACAGGTCCGTGTTCTCTGTCTCACCTGAAAGGCAGCCAAATTAATCCACGATCACAGATTAAGTTTAGACTTTTAAACAAGAAAAGAATCCACAATTATGCAGAATTACAAAGCAAGTTAATTAAAAGTCACTGAATAAACTGAATGTGAAAAGCCAGTGTTATCTTCAGGCTCAGAACAGAAGGTTCCTTAAAACTTTCGACCAAATTAAGTAGTGAAGGAGCAGAGCGGGAATGAATAGAAAATAGTCTCATGGTGTTCCAACCAGTAGAAACACGGTTTTGTTGATCTCATTTTCATAACCGTGACTAAATACCTTCAGCACAGTGTCAGATGTTACATATACAGCTGTCATTCATAAATAACCATTAAAAAGGCACATATAGATAAGAAGACAACAGTAACGATAATTTATATAAACAATTAAGTAAATCCCTGAATATCTAATGAAATATAGCAGAATTTTAGGCTCTTTCCTAGTCCTAAAATTCATCATACATTCCTTTTCTGTCAAGTGTCTAGATTGTCTTTGCCAGCATCTTCTCTAATCCAATAAAAGCCTCCAATAATGGGAACCTGTTGAACGATCTACGTCATTTGACTGTTATAGGTGAAAACTTTCCAGCCTATATTTAACCTAAATCTCACCCTCTACAGCTTACTTCCTCTTAATCTACATCTTAACCACAGAGCAAACGGAAAAGTTGGGTTTTAAAAAAAAAAAAAATATATATCAAGATGCTTCTGTGAACTATTTCTTACACACACACCCCCCACAGCCTTTTCCATCCCCCAAAATAAAGCATTTTTTTTTATTTAATTGGTCATAGATTCTGAGCCTCTCAATCCACTTTGCTACTTTCCTCTGTACTTTTTGGATTGTTTAATACTCATGACTAGACACACAAGTGCAATCAAAAAGAAGAAAAAAATAAAAGCTTTCTGGAATTTACACCGGATCAACATATCCCAGGATAGCACCCACTTTTGCCAGCTGCATCATGTTGCTTATTCCGAGCAATTTGTGATGAAGGATTCTTCCCTACAGCTGTGCTGCCCATATACCTCGATTTGAGCACCTGAGAGCACAGCATTTCATACTTAGCAGCTTTTTATCTTCTGGATTGTACTTCTCAAACCTATCAAAATGACTGAATTTAAAGTTTATTCTATTCTTCTCCAGATGCTTGTCTGCAATCCCTCCTAACTCCCAAGGCGTATCAACAAGTTTTATCTTGTGATTATCTAGTGATAGATAATACGACTAGAAATGACCCCCTGAACACATCACCTGGTTTTCTCCCAAGCTTCAAGAGCTTTTCCAGCTTTGCAAAGAGTTGGGTTAGTTACCAAACTTACATGATCAATTGAAACACCGTATTTATCAAGTGTATGAACATGGAACTACGTTAAAAACCTCCTAAAAACTAAAACTGGCTCTGGGTCATATGTATTTTCCAGACCACACTGTCATGTAACATAATAAATCCACTTATAACAGGTTGGATTTCTCAAATCACTGTATTCCTCCACCAGATTCTCTACTGGGGTGGAGGGAGGGAGCATCACAACAGCTGACAAGCACCTCAGTACTTTTACAGTCCGTAAAATATTAAAAAAAAAATTACTTTTCCCAATGCAGAGTGACACATCAAATCGGTTAAGCACAAGATGTAAAGAGCATCAGCACTATACATAGCAAGAACCGTTTAATACCACCTACAACCAGATTAATTATGGACTGAAAAAAAAAAAAAAAGGAAAAAAAAGAAGCTGTTCCAACACAGCATTTTCTCAACACCCCTGGGAGGCACGACTGCTGCTTCACAGGCTGCGGATGTTCCAACTTCCTTAGTTTATACAGCGAGCCAACAGACTGGACAATTTAGGGTTTAGAAACGCCGTGTCCTCAAACAAGATCGCCAGATCATGCAGCCTTGCATCTCCAGCTCAAGAGTCATTTTCAGGAACACCCTGGAAGTTTCATTAATTATAGTTAAACTTCAGCGTTTTTAAAGCTTCATGTTGAGAAGAAACCTACGAGTGTTTCACCCACTGAAGTTCAGGAATCCTAGCTCAGGATGTAAATACCATTCCAAACACCATCAGAAGCTTTTGGGTTTTTTTCTGATAAGAAACCCACACTACCTTTGTGGGGTGTGGGGTTTTTTTTCCTTCTTTCTTCCACCTTCTGCATACTCTCGCCAATTAGAGAGCTTTTTGAAAAGCCCATTACGAGACATGGCAAACTTCTAAATGTTTTTCCAGTGTTTCCGAAGATACAAATCCCATTTTCTGAAGTGAACAGTCAAAAGCCCGTAAAGCTTCCCCCTGCTCATTACCAGCCTGATTAAGAACACGTAGAAGCGACTCGGAGCCGCCAAAGCCTGCCGAAATTAATTATTTTACATGCTTTGGGTGCAAATCGCTTCTAACTGCAGGCGTTACCGTGTGCATTAAGCGCTGTAGTATGAATATATTAACTTTAAAACACAATAACCGCAGAATATAGAATCATAGAACGGTTTGGGTTGGAAGGGACCTTAAAGATCAAGTTCCAACCCCCCTGCCCTGGGCAGGGACACCTCCCGCCAGACCAGGTTGCTCAAAGCCCCATCCAGCCTGGCCTAATAGTTAAGTGAATAATAATAATAATTAAGTGAAGGTCAAAAAAGCTTTCTACGCTTTTCTGGAGACCTACCCCCCCCCTTCTCTGAGGGTAGGGGATGGATAGCTTTGTCTCTGGGAGCCCCGCAACCATACGGCAGGACCTGCGAGTTGGCTGGGTGGGGGTCTCACCTCGTCCCCCCCTCCCGGTGGCCTGCAGCCCCCCTCCCCATCATCATCATCATCCCCACCGGGATGGATGGAGCCCGGGACCCGTCCAGGCTGAGAGCCGGAGGAAGCCCAGCCACCAACCCGCCCGGGCGGCACCTCAGGGCGACCAGGCGGAAGCGGCGGCTCCGGCTTTCAACAATATCGCTATTCAACAGGATCCTGCCCGATATCCTGCGGGCGGCGGGGGCTCCTTCCCGGGGAGGGAGGGAGGGAGGGAGAGCCGGGCGGGCGGGGGCTGTACCGCAATGCTGCCGCCGCCGCAGCCGCCGGACAGACACCCCCTCCTCCCTCCCTCCCTTCTGCAGAGCCGCACCGCGGCGGGGGGAGGCGGCTCGGAGGCGCCCGGTAGCACCGCTGGGGTCTGTCCGTTATCCCCCCCCCTCCAACACACACACACCGCGACACCGGAGGGATGCCCCCCCCCTCCGCGGGAGGCACGCGCGGGAGCCGTTACCTGCCACAACCGCCTCCGCCGCAGAGGAGGAGGAGGAGGTGGAGGAAGAAGCGCCTCCTCCCCGTCCTCCCCGCCGGCCACCGACGATGTCCGCAGCCTCCACCTGGCATCCCCCGCCGGCGGCGGCGGCGGGCAGGAGCAGCCCCAGCAGAAGCAGGCAGGTCGGCACCGGGGTGGTGGCCGCTGCCGCCGCCGCCAACGGCCGCCCGCCGGGCGCTCGGAGCCTGCTCATGGATACCGCCGCTGCCGCGGAGCGAGGAGAAAGAAGGGGAAGGAAGGAAGGAAGGGGTTGGAACTGCGACGCTGCCCCGGCTCCGGCAGCACCGACGCGCCTCAGACGCCGGCCTCCACACGCCGCCTCCCGCCGCTTCCGGCGCCCGCCGCGCCGCCCGCCGGACACGTCACCGCGCGGTGACGTCACCGCGGAGGGAAGGAGGGAGGGGGCGGTGGCGGGTGTCTGAGAGGAACCGGGTGGTCGCGGCGGTACCTACGTACACCCCCCCGGGGAGCCCTCAGCCCCGTGTTCCCCCACCTCGGGGAGCCCTCAGCTCGGTGTTTCCACCTCAGGGAGCCCTCAGATCCGTGTTCCTCCCTCAGGGAACCCTCAGCTTGCTGGTCCCCCACCTCAGGGAGCCCTCAGCTCGGTGTCCCCACCTCAGGAAGCCCGGGGAGCCCTCAGCCCCGTGTCCCCCCGCCTCGGGGAGCCCTCAGCTCGGTGTCCCCCCGCTTCAGGGAGCCCTCAGCCCCATGTCCCCCTGCTTCAGGGAGCCCTCAGCCCTGTGTTCCTCCACCTCAGGGAGCCCTCAGCCCCGTGTTCCTCCACCTCAGGGAGCCCTCAGCACCGTGTCCCCCTGCTTTAGGGAGCCCTCAGCCCCATGTTCCTCCCTCAGGGAGCCCTCAGCCCCGTGTCCCCCCGCTTCAGGGAACCCTCAGCTCGGTGTCCCCACCTCAGGGAACCCTCAGCTCGGTGTCCCCACCTCAGGGAGCCCTCAGCCCCATGTCCCCACCTCAGGGAGCCCTCAGACCCGTGTTCCCCACTCAGGGAGCCCTCAGCCCCATGTCCCCCTGCCTCGGGGAGCCCTCAGCTCGGTGTCCTCACCTCAGGGAGCCCTCAGCCCCGTGTTCCTCCCTCAGGGACCCCTCAGCCCCGTGTCCCCCCGCTTTAGGGACCCCTCAGCCCCGTGTCCCCCCCCTCAGGGAGCCCTCAGCCCCGTGTTCCTCTTTCAGGGAGCCCTCAGCCCTGTCCCCCTGCCTTGGGGAGCCCTAAGCTCGGTGTCCCCATCTCAGGGAGCCCTCAGCTCAGTGTCTTCACCTCAAGGAGCCCTCAGCCCCATGTCCCCCTGCTTCAGGGAGCCCTCAGCCCTGTGTTCCTCCACCTCAGGGAGCCCTCAGCCCCGTGTTCCTCCACCTCAGGAAGCCCTCAGCACCGTGTCCCCCTGCTTTAGGGAGCCCTCAGCCCCATGTTCCTCCCTCAGGGAGCCCTCAGCCCCGTGTCCCCCCGCTTCAGGGAACCCTCAGCTCGGTGTCCCCACCTCAGGGAGCCCTCAGCCCCATGTCCCCACCTCAGGGAGCCCTCAGACCCGTGTTCCCCACTCAGGGAGCCCTCAGCCCCATGTCCCCCTGCCTCGGGGAGCCCTCAGCTCGGTGTCCTCACCTCAGGGAGCCCTCAGCCCCGTGTTCCTCCACCTCAGGAAGCCCTCAGCACCGTGTCCCCCTGCTTTAGGGAGCCCTCAGCCCCATGTTCCTCCCTCAGGGAGCCCTCAGCCCCGTGTCCCCCCGCTTCAGGGAACCCTCAGCTCGGTGTCCCCACCTCAGGGAACCCTCAGCTCGGTGTCCCCACCTCAGGGAGCCCTCAGCCCCATGTCCCCACCTCAGGGAGCCCTCAGACCCGTGTTCCCCACTCAGGGAGCCCTCAGCCCCATGTCCCCCTGCCTCGGGGAGCCCTCAGCTCGGTGTCCTCACCTCAGGGAGCCCTCAGCCCCGTGTTCCTCTCTCAGGGAGCCCTCAGACCCATGTCCTCCCCTCAGGAAACCCTCAGCTCGGTGCCCCCCCCCACCTCGGGGAGCCCTCAGCTTGGTGTCCCCACCTCAGGGAGCCCTCAGCCCCGTGTTCCTCTCTCAGGGAGCCCTCAGCTCAGTGTCTTCACCTCAAGGAGCCCTCAGCCCCATGTCCCCCTGCTTCAGGGAGCCCTCAGCCCTGTGTTCCTCCACCTCAGGGAGCCCTCAGCCCCGTGTTCCTCCACCTCAGGAAGCCCTCAGCACCGTGTCCCCCTGCTTTAGGGAGCCCTCAGCCCCATGTTCCTCCCTCAGGGAGCCCTCAGCCCCGTGTCCCCCCGCTTCAGGGAACCCTCAGCTCGGTGTCCCCACTTCAGGGAACCCTCAGCTCGGTGTCCCCACCTCAGGGAGCCCTCAGCCCCATGTCCCCACCTCAGGGAGCCCTCAGACCCGTGTTCCCCACTCAGGGAGCCCTCAGCCCCATGTCCCCCTGCCTCGGGGAGCCCTCAGCTCGGTGTCCTCACCTCAGGGAGCCCTCAGCCCCGTGTTCCTCTCTCAGGGAGCCCTCAGACCCATGTCCTCCCCTCAGGAAACCCTCAGCTCGGTGCCCCCCCCCGCCTCGGGGAGCCCTCAGCTTGGTGTCCCCACCTCAGGGAGCCCTCAGCTCGATGTCGCCCTGCCTCGGGGAGCCCTCCGCTCGGTGTCCCCACCTCAGGGAGCCCTCAGCCCCGTGTCCCCCCACCTCGGGGAGCTCTCAGCCCCGTGTTCCCCCCTCAGGGAGTCCTCAGCCCCGTGTCCCCCTGCTTCAGGGAGCCCTCAGCTCGGTGTCCCCACCTCAGGGAGCCCTCAGCTCGATGTCGCCCTGCCTCGGGGAGCCCTCCGCTCGGTGTCCCCACCTCAGGGAGCCCTCAGCCCCGTGTCCCCCCACCTCGGGGAGCTCTCAGCCCCGTGTTCCCCCCTCAGGGAGTCCTCAGCCCCGTGTCCCCCTGCTTCAGGGAGCCCTCAGCTCGGTGTCCCCACCTCAGGGAGCCCTCAGCTTGGTGTCGTCCCTCCACCCACCCCACCAGCCCTCCCCCGGGGGGTTGGTGTGTGGCGGAACCCCACCATCACCACCACTCAGCTTCAGGGCCGGTCACTCAGCCCTGAGGGTGCGGGAAAGTTAAAAAAAAAACAAACACCTTAAAACAAGGGTTTAGCTATAGGTTGGGGGGGAGAAAACGAGCCCTGGGAGTCGGTGAAGTGTGTCCTTCACGGCACCTCAGGGGAGCTCCCGAAAGGCGAGGGATGTGAGGAAAAAGTTTGGGTGCGGTGCCTGCTACAGCCCTGGCAGAGCAAATGTTAATAATAAATTGTTTAACTCTCATCCTGTACAACCAAAATGAAGAAAACAGAGGGCTACAAAGATTAAGATGGGCCTAGAGCATCTCCCTTACAAGGATGGGCTGAGGGACTTGGGTCTTATTAGTCTGGAGAAGAGAAGACTGAGGGGGGATCTGTTCAACACCTATATATACCAAAAGGGTGGGTGTCAGGAGGATGGGGCCAGTGTTTTTTCAGTGGTGCCCAGTGACAGAACAAGAGGAAATGGGCATAAACTTGAATATAAGAAGTTCCACCTAAAGATGAGGAGGAACTTCTTTCCTTTGAGGGTGGCAGAGCCCTGGATAGAGGCTGCCCAGAGAGGTGGTGGAGTCTCCTTCTCTGGAGACATTACAAACCCGCCTGGACACATTCCTGTGGGACCTGCTCTGGGTGGACCTGCTGTGGCAGGGGGTTGGACTAGATGATCTCCAGAGGTCCCTTCCAACCCCATATCATGCTGCAATTCTGTGAAAACAGCCCTCACAGAGATTAAACCCTGAGTTAATTGTGTTTAGGACCTCGGCGAAACAATCCCAAAAAAAAACACCCCAAAAAACTTTAGCTTAAGATGTTTCCATCAAGCCACCTAATGGGAATAAAATATAAAACTAAAATGCTTTGTCCTGTCCAAATCTGGGGAGTTTTTCAACCAGTCTGTTTGGAGTTGTTTAACCAAGACTAACACCGACTTTAAGAACCAAATCCAACCCAGTATCTCAGATACCCAATACAAGATAAAACGATGCACCATGGATGGAAGAAGCTTAGGTGATACGAATCACCTAAGAAATAAGAGAATTGATATGAAAAGTCTTGGGAAAAGCCTTTCCCCACTCCGTAAATCCTACGGGAGAAAAGCGGGTAAAGTGGAGTGGCATGAGCTGCTTCTATGGGTCAGCAGAATCCAGAAAGCTGACTGTGAAATTGTTATAGAACTAGAAAAAGCAGGAAATAATTTCTCTAGCAACATAGTTATGGCCTGAATACTCCGTCCCAGCTGAAACATATTTTTAAATGAAAAAATAAAAATAAACCCACAAAGAAATCCCACCCACAAAACTTTCAACTAGCCACATACCATATGAAGATTTAGAAAACGTGTCTAAACGTAATGAATTGTTGGAATCGGGGAGTCTGTGCACGTTATGGCCTGAATACTCCGTCCCAGCTGAAACATATTTTTTAATGAAAAAATAAAAATAAACCCACAAAGAAATCCCACCCACAAAACTTTCAACTAGCCACATACCATATGAAGATTTAGAAAACGTGTCTAAACCTAATTCATTGTTGGAATCAGGGAGTCTGTGCATGGCCTTATCGTTTCTCTTGGCCGAACACAACGGCCTTTAAAGACCAACGGTATCTGACCAGATCTTGTGCAAAGAGAACAATGAAAGGCCCCGCATCTTATGAAAGCTTGTTCGGTGATGTTTGACTACAGGGAGGGGAGCTGGAGCAGAGTAAATTCCCCAGAGGGAAACAAAGAAACCAGCTGTTAATTTAATTAATTCATTAATTTTAAAATACAAAGAGAGAGGCACCTGAAGGGCACGTGGGAGAGGCAAGTTTCTTGGGCGAGTGTGAACTGTTTTAACTGGGAGCCACTGGACTCACAGGATGTGTCACAGAGGGGGTTGGAAGGGACCTCTGGAGATCATCTAGTCCAACCCCCTGCCAGAGCAGGTCCACCAGAGCAGGTTGCACAGGAACATACGAAGGAGGGTTTTGAATGTCTCCAGAGAAGGAGACTCCACCACCTCTCTGGGCAGCCTTTTCCAGGGCTCTGCCACCCTCAAAGGAAAGAAGTTCCTCCTCATGTTTAGGTGGAACTTCCTACGTTCAAGTTTGTGCCCATTTCTTCTTGTCCTGTCACTGGGCACCACTGAAAAAAGACTGGCCCCATCCTCCTGACACCCACCCTTTGAATATTTATAGGCGTTGATCAGATCCCCCCTCAACCTTCTCTTCTCCAGACTAATAAGACCCAAGTCCCTCAGCCTCTCCTCCTAAGAGAGATGCTCCAGGCCCATAATCATCTTCTTAGTCCTCTGCTGTCCCCTCTCCAGCAGTTCCCTGTCCTTCTTGAACTGGGGAGCCCAGAACTGGACACAATGCTCCAGGTGGGGCCTCACCAGGGCAGAGTGGAATGCACAAGCCCTGTAGTTAAATACCATGTGAGATGGGGACACAAACAGCCCTTCAGTGACAATGCTGTGGGCCTGGAGAAGAAAAAGATCCTTGTTTAAAATCCTCCTGCAAAGTTGGCTCATTTTCACCTCTTGCTCTCAACCATAAGTCCCCGAATCAGAAGGCACGGAATGGATTGGTTTCAATCATTATGGGGAGAGGTCACTGCTGGTCAGGGCACCTTAGCAGAAGATTTCGTGGTGAGAAGGATGTTCAATAGAAACACCTCTGGATGCATCGTCAGTTCACGTCACACAGGCTCAGCTGCGTAAGCTCAGAATCAAGGAAGGCACCAAACGTGGGCTGCAGCCCAACCTGTTGATCCACAGAAACGTAAATGACTTGTGGTTTCAATATGAGGAACCAAATATTGCTGAGGCCTCTGATAAGGTCTGATCACAGCATCATTTATTGCCTCTAGAGGCCATCTAGTCTTACCCTTCCTACGCAACCCTGAGGACCATTACTCATAACCACGTGCCAGTTTCATTTTGGACTGTTGACTGCTACTTTTTGAGTAGAGTGATTCTCACTCATTTCCACCCACCTTGTCCACTAATCCAGTCATAGAATCACAGAATGGTTTGGGTTGAAAGGGACCTTAAAGATCATGGAGTTCCAACCCTCTGCCATGGGCAGGGACACCTCCCACCAGACCAGGTTGCTCCAAGCCCCATCCAGGCTGGCCTTGAACCCCTCCAGGGATGGGGCAGCCACAGCTTCTCTGGGCAACCTGTTCCAGTGTCTCACCACCCTCACAAGAAAGAATTTCTTCCTGAGATCTCATCTAAATCTCCGTTCTTTCAGTTTAAACCCGTTACCCCTTGTCCTATGGCTCCACTCCCTGACTCCACAGCCCGTACCTCCCCTACTGGACTACAGTGACACTATGGATACTGAGGCAAAAACCTCGATGAAATCAATGTGTGTTGCTTTTATCACCACAACCATAGAGCGAATAATCCCATCGTAGAAGCTGTTGGTAGAACCGTGCTGGATTTCCCAAACCAACTTCTTGTCCTTCATCATCCCAGAAATGGCTGACAGAAAGATCTGCTTCATTCTCTGAGAGAACGGCTGAGTAAGGATGACTGTCCCATAGTTTCCTGCCCCTTACTTTGATGATAGATGTGACATTTGCTTTTTCCCCATAACTGGAAATCCCATCGTGTTGCCACAGCCTTTCAAAGGCGATAGGAATCAGCACAGTGACATTAGCCAGCTTCCTCAGCGCCTTCACAGACACCTCCTGTCCAACCTTGAGGACTTGTAAAAACCCAGTTTGCTGCAGAGGCCCTAATTCAGCCTTCCTCTACAGCTGGTAGTAGTCTTCTCCTCCAAACTTTTCCAGTAGGCCTAGAGATCTGTGAGGTTTGAGGGTTGACCTTGCTACTAAAGAAGAAAGGAGAGATGAGTTTGAGCATCTCGGCCTTTTCCTGGTCCTTCATCACCAGGTCACGTACCCCATTCAGCAGCAAAGCCTGTGGTTCTTAGGGTTCATACTGTAATTAAAACAATTTAGATCATTTTCTCTACTCCTGGGTGTAGACAGCTGTAACAGAAAGGCTGGAATTGGTGTGAGTGGAGAATAAAGGGTGATGTCTGGGCGTGGGGACACCATACCCAGCACACGGCAGCAAAAGGGCTCTCAGAATTGGCCTGTGCTAATGGCCCACAAATTAGCAGGTCATCAAGACCCCAGCATATCTGCATGAAGTGTCACAGGGCACCCAGATCTGGAGAAAAAGAGCAATGAAGAAATCCTGATGACTCACAGAGGTGGGACAGGATGGAGACACAGATCGCTATCAGCTGCTCAAGGCTACAAAGAAGCACATCCAAAATCCATGCAGGGTTAGCCAACCTAAGAAGAACCCAGGAGACATGAGGAGAACTTCACAGCTGGTGTCATAGAATGGTTTAAGGGAAGGGACCTTAAAGATCATTGAGTTCCAACCCTCTGCCATGGGCAGGGACACCTCCCACCAGACCAGGTTGCTCAAAGCCCCATCCAGCCTGGCCTTGAATGTCTCCAGGGATGGGGCATCTACAGCTTCTCTGGGCAACCTGTTCCAGGGTCTCACCACCCTCACAGCAAAGAATTTCTTCCTGAGATCTCATCTAAATCTCCCCTCTTCCAGTTTAAAACCATTACCCCCTCGTCCTATGGCTCCCCTCCCTGATCCAGAGTCCCTCCCCATCTCTCCTGGAGCCCCTTGAGGGACTGGAAGGGGCTCTAAGGTCTCCCTGGAGCCCTCTTTTCTCCAGGCTGAAGAACCCCAGCTCTCTCAGCCTGTCAGTCTTCACAGTTGTTTCATGCCCACAGTTCTTCCCAATACATATATTTTGCTGGTCCTAAAACCCCCTAGAAGCAGTTTTGAGCAGTAGAATAAAGGGGAAAAAAAGCTTTTACCGCTATTTGGTGCCATTTACAGTCTCTCCAAACTACAAGTTGAGGATGCTCTGGGGAGATGTGAGGACTCGGGAGGAAAAATATTGATCAGGTATAGAAACAGGCTGATAATAATAAAGGAGAAAGAAACCTGGGGTGGGAAAGAGAAACAAAGCACAAACTGGAAAAAAAAATGGTGGAAAGTCACATAACAGAAGAGTTAGAAATAAGCAAAACCT